AAAGCGCTCGAATAGGGGGTTCAACGCATCCTCCCATATAGGCGGAGCCCAGGCAATAATGTTCAGCCCATATGTAGCCGTGGATAGGATGAATGTTTTGAACATCACCAGTCGGTTGCGGGGGTGTCACCAGCTGAAGCCATGGCAGCTATAAGCGCGGAAAAAGGCGATACCCAGTGACAATGCTGCAACCAGGGATTCCATATGTCTAGCGAGGTTGATTCCTGGTACTCCGTGAGAGAGTGGGAACTCCAGGTATTTGGAGTGTTTCGGTTCGGCATATGTGGGCGCCAGTTTCAGGGGGAGATAACGTGTGTTCCAAGGTGCGTCTGCAAGCGTCGGCGTGATAAGCTCACCATTTATACGGAGGGTTGGCGCCGCGTGTCGCAAGTCGGTAGATCGTACTCGGGGTTTAATGTCACCCTCTTCGAGGCCAGATTTGCGTCCCCACGCATCAATGTCATCTAAGAAGGGCTGGAGCGAAACCGATCGAGGGGCTTGGATCCGTGTGTCATCGACAAATAAATAAGAGCGGAGGAGCTTGGGCCTAATACTGTACGCAAAAAATCTCGGCAGTTTAGCGCGGAAAAAAGAGGTTGGTGGCATCATTAATCAAATAATATGTATTCAACAGCGCAGTCATTTGAGCCTTGTATACAACTGCCCCCTTTTGAATATCTCGACGGACAACATATAAGCTCGTGCGGAGTGGTAAGGCTTAGGCCCAACTGCATACCAGCTCACCTACTCTATTCCCGGGAGTACATTTAATGTCCAGAAGTTTCAAATAGCTTTCAATGTGGTGCGGAATCATTGCGTGTTTATAAGTGCATTGCATAATACAGATGCTCATATGGAATTCTTAAAACAACGAATTGTTTTAACCATTGCAGATATATTGGTGTAAGAGTCGTAGCACTGAGATTAGACAGCTGTCGGATATAATGAGGAAGCTGTGTCTTACGAAATGAAAGCCGAATTATTGTGTACCCACCCACCGTACAAACCAATGAAGAGCATTCGTGAGCATTGAAATATTCACGAGCTGGGAAACGGATGTGTACCTCGGTTTCGAATTCGACAGACTCAACATCCCCGGTATTTTTCACTTACAATTCATGGAAATGTTTGTATGTATTTATTATATGATGTACAAATTGTGTAAATCAAGATTTCCGATTTCTATGTTGTCCTTCATGAAAGGAATATAATATTTCATCACTGCTTCCTAAAAACTAATAAGACAAAGCCAAAGTATGTTTACCACGAACTAATGCCTTTTCCCCCCTTCATATATCAATGCCTTGACAGAGTTTGATTTAATCTGCTAATACAGTTCTGATATGTCATCTTGAAAACAATGAAAGTAGAGGAATCGTCGAACTCGTAGCGATGTAAAAGAGATTGAAGATTGGAACCACTTTGATATCCAATGACTATGGACATTACATAGCTGTTTCTAGTTATAAGTACTCTGTATCGTAGCCTATTCGATTTTTTCTTATTCAATACACGGATATTACTGTACATGTTGTGTATTGAAACCCGTGAATAATAATGATGTGAATAGAAATTATAATTTTCCATCATATTACCAGACGCATGCCAAACCAGAATAGAGAACGCAAATCGATCGATAAAAAATGTATGTAACATACTATTCAAAGATTTGTCCAGGCCTGATAAATACTCTCAATTGTAAATTAACATAATTTAAAGCTCTATGCCATTCTGCACAGCACATCATGAATACACTTCCTCCAAAAAAAAAGTACTTATTTACCACAATATTGCACCAGGCAAGCAATCATATTAGCAATAGATTGTAGATTGAAAACAAAAAGTTGTGTTTTTGTAATGATCTATCATTCTTGAAATTCAAGTATCAATATTTGTCCTAATACTGAATCAGTGTACACGTGGTCCAGCCGTGGCACAGGTACTACTGTGGAGCCTGGAAGGTTGCAATGTACGTCAGGAGGTATGTTCGCGTTGGTATCTAAGAGATCTGTAAGTGACTTTATGAAACCTTCTTGTCCATACACAGGATCCTTTTCATGTGGCGTGAGGAGTGATTTCCATTTTGCATCTGTTGGTATTAGTGGATCGATTAATCCTGCTATGTATATATATGTGTGTGGTAGAATGTACATATCAAGAAGTGTTGGTGCCTTCATGTCAGGTAGATCTAATACTTTATACTTCAAAGCACCGAGATGTTTTCTACCTCCATAATTAATGTCACAAACTTCGGTTGACCCTGTGCGTTGTATTCTTGCATCTGTTTGTGCTAATTGTATATAAACCGGTTGCGCTCTGACGGAGAGATATTAATTATGTTATTACACTCTTGTCCATGCATGAGCGTTGTGCGCCGGAGTCTACTAGTGCATTGTATGTATTGCCACTAATTTGTATGTCAATGTGTAAACGTTGGTCTCGTGGTGCGGGAATTAAGGATAAAGGTTGATAATTTAAATCATTTGCATTTACTAACAACGTTTCTTCATCTGTATATACATGAGCCTGTCAGCCAGGTCAATCATATTTGCTTCCGCCCACCAGTTGTTTCAGAGTTCATCACCCTCTGTGACACCATCTACCTTGCCGGATGTGATGGACAGTCTTGCTATTTGCACATCCTTCTTGACTTGCTCATCAGCCTGCTTGGCCTGATTCGTAGCCTTCTTGGGACATAGACTGAACCGATGTGGGGCCGGCATCTCCTTACAATAAAGACATGCACGCTTCTCACGCGCCCCTTTCTTCTCTTGTGTCTGTCCTGTTGGCTTAGTTTGATTGGGTACACCGTTGTCCGGTTTGTGCCGCTTGTTTGTAGTGGTAGTTCTACTCTGAGCCTGGCCGTGGTTGGTTGCCTGTGCATTGTGTCGCTTGCGCTGCTCTCTTAGCTGCTTTCATATCATACGATCACCTTGCACTTTGGATGCCGCTCTTATATTTGACTCAGTCATAGTGTGAAACTTAGTATCGATATCCGATAAGTGACCCTCACTCCCATCAGGTTGTATATCTGCCTTGATGAGAGCATCCACTTGCACTTGTTGTCCGTAATACATTAGTGCTTGGTATCTTTGGACTTTGAGAAGTTGAAAGTGTATGGGTTCTTTGTCTGAGTTGCGGCAACGCTCCTCTAGCATCTTCATTGTCTTCTGCGCACGCTCTGTGCGCCCTTCAACGTTCAGTGTCTTGTTCTGCATGTCATTGAGAAACTTCTTTAACAGATAGTCTACCGCATGAGGCCTGAGCCTATCAATAATCATTCTATTGAATTATTCAGGGTCCTTCAAATGTTTGGTCGTGTGCGTCTCAGAGTCTCTTATGTTATCGAGCAATGCCTAGGTCTTTTCCGTTGCGTCAGTAGAATCTAATAAGTTTCTCACTAGTGCTGGGTACTGACACAGTGGCATGGACTTTGTTCAGAATAAGTCTCAATATTTCGTAGTGAATTCTATGATGTCTTCGTAATTTTCCATTCTGAAGTGACTATCCCTAGGGAGCTTTGAAAATTTTGAAGTCTTTAGTAGTTTTGCGAGGGCAGGTTTATTTATCTGGTCGCCTAAGCGTGAACGCATGAGCTCTAACTCACTAATGCAATGACTTATTTGAATGAGTTCATCTTCCTCATTGTCACCACAATCATTGACAGCTAAGTCATATCATCGTCTGAGTTCTTTGTCAACAAGTGACATGCGTCGTTCTGGTTGTTGGTCATGAATGCCTACTCTCATCTTGTGTACAGTCGGTATAGGCACTGGTGTTGGTTGTTCCAATATGGTCACAAACGTACTAACCAGAATACGATTACCTTGGCAGATGCTCTTGTCTATTGCTTGACGCATTGCTGAGGCTGGTATGGGTACGCCAGCCTGTGTAGGCTGGACGGAACCACTGTCTAAGCTTGCCCCCCCCTCATTGGGCTGACACTTGCGCCATCTGTGCCCACACCCTCTTCTTCACCACCACACACGCCTGCTCTGGTTGCCGTTGTCATCTTGAGATCTCTGTGATGGTGTGTGTGTATTGCGGGTTATTAGTAAAGATTCTTGCTATATTCTGTGCAAATCTGCGTTTCACCCCCCTTGTCTTTGGTAATAATTCGTATAAAAGAAATAAAATCTTGATCTATCTCACTTACTTTTATTGTGGTCTCGCTTTGCTATACTTCCGTTAAAAGTGTTGACCTTCCTGTGTGATACGCTAGCTTGTTGCTTTGTTCCCTGTATGTTTGAGGGTTTAAATGATGTTTGTTAGTCAAGCCTATTTCGTCACGTGTGGACTTACTTGTGTGTTTTTGTCAAATGAGAAATTATTTCCTCATGTGTGATCTTAATGAGATGTTCGGTCTCAGTGACGTCTCTGAAAAAGTTCGGTGCTGTTGATGGCCCTTTTTATGTACCGAACATCCAGGCCTCAGTAGGCTGTGGCTTTGTTTGTGGTGTACCGAACTTTTGTGATTTATTCTGTTTGAATATTCTTATATTGTTAGTCCGCTGTAGTTTATTCCGTTGAATATTTGTGAGTACCAAACTATTGTATTATTAGTCTGTTGTATACTTGTACTAGTGTATGTTTTAGTTTGTTGTATGCTTGCCTCTGTACTAGATGATGGTAGCATCCACCATCGGGGACCACAAGGACCAAAGCCCAAACGTAATAGAGTAACCGAGTAACATAAAACGTCTGAGTATACTTTGTCTAAGAGAATATAACATAAACATTGAGGCCGTTATATGATCGAAACCCGTTTCGCTTCTTTTCGCTTGTACAATTCATGTGAGCTTTTTGAGTCTATGTGCTAATACCACGTATAAGCCAACATTGTAATTTCCAAGCTCAGGGGGGGGGGGGCTATATAAAAATAACGGGTTCCTATTAGTAGTTGCACAGTTAACGTATATTATAAACGTATAAACTTATAAACGTTTATACTATAATACTGTAATGCGTTTAACGAATTGGACATGGACAAGAACTGAGAAATTCAAGATTCTGAACATGTGATAGTACCCAGTAGAGTATGGGACTCTACTGTGGACAATTAGGTGGTTTTCCAAATATAGATTGGTTTTTCCACTGAAATTATAATTGTACATAATATAGGAACGACACCAATCTGACACCTGAAAATGACACTTTGGGAATCTCTAATTAATGGGAGTACCATGAGAGAGAGTCTCAGGCATGAAATGGTTGTTGGTACAAATATATGGTATAATTCGATAATGATCTCAGAGCAAGATAGTCCACTGAGAAAAGGACAGGATCAGAGTTGTTAGAATTTAGGACAACATGGTTTTGATTCCTCCTAGCCAGCCAACTAGATGTGCCCGTTTATGCCTTAAATGGGATGGGGAGCTAGGTACCAAGTGATGGGGTTTAGGTACAGATGTATACTGCACCAGCTTGGTGTTTTGATTTTATTTTTATTTTCTTAAGTTGGACTTCGAGGTATTTTATTGGTTAGTTTGATTAGGTAATTGTTTCGAGGCGTGAAATGTACACTATGCGTCCAATGAAATGATATGTAGTCTTAGTAACTAAAACATAAATAAATCTAGACCGAAGTAGTGATTGATTAGAGCGGAGCATATAGACAATAGTCTAAGTCTAAAATCCCCTAATCTTTTGCTCATTACCAAGAGCTGAAGCTAAACTTATTTAACATTTTGCATTTTAACGTATTAACGTATTGTCTTATTAACATAAACGTCTTGGTATCGTATAGTCAGCCTAGAGGAGACCGACTTTTACATATTTTTAAGCTTATAATACGCTATCGATATTATGACAAAAGGGAAAAATAAGGCAGAGAATGTAGCTAAGGCCGCAAACGTGAAAGGGTTTACTGTAGGCGATGAAAAGCAGAAAACACCCCCGGCACCATCAGTGGAAGCTGAAGCAACTGAGATCCCGCCGGTACAACCGGTACCAACTCTGACTAAACGGAAACGTAAGAAGTTGGTTGACTCGGGTGTAGGTGCATCCGGAGGTAATGTGACTACGGAGCCACAGAAGCCACCAGCGAAGTAGGCAAAATATCGACAGGGAAAAGCTGAGAAAACGCAATCCTCGGAAAATTCAACTTCAGAGGAAGTGCGACATGCACTGGAATCATGTGTATCGTCCCCACCAGTGGACACGCGCACAGCACGTAGGCGAGATCCTACTTATCATATGATAGCAAGGGATAGGAGAGCCTTCCTGAATAACTACCAACCAATGGTACATGAATTGAGTCCTACTAAGCAGCGGAAGAAAATGCAAGCCGCAGCGAAGGATCAAAGCCATGGTGAATCAGGGAAGGATGACTAAAAAACCCTAAAACCCTCGGAGCCGATAGCACAAACACTGTTGAATCAACCCCAAATCGACGTATTGGAAGAACAACTGCGTTTCGTGGATATAGGTCCGAACGATGTGGACCATACCCTTCACCACCAGGACGACGATTCGAACACCAGGTTGGACTCACAATTCCTGCGCTTACCCAAAACACCACTCCGACCGGCTTGGCGACAAAACTTTGATTTGGGCCATCCATACCAGACTCAGATTGATATCCAGGAGGAGGGTCAACGAGAGTTGATCCGTCAGCGGGCCAACCGGGTATGGGTGTTTCGAAATACGTATGGAACGTACTTTCCGGACGCAATGAAGACCAAACCGGATGGTACCATCTCACCGAGGTATGTGAAGAATGCTGCGGTAAGAAAGTTTGGGTACGATTTGTTTAGGGATTCTAAATATTACAATAGGCTAATATCAATGAAAACTGACGCGGTAAGAAAGTTTGGGTACGATTTGTTTAGGGATTCTAAATATTACAATAGGCTAATATCAATGAAAACTGACGAAGGTAAGCAAGCACGCAAACTTTTCCGTCAGTTTCAAAAGATACTACCGAAGGGTTTAGGGTTTAGGGTTTTCTAAAAACCCTAAAACCAAATCCACCACCGGAAGGAAATCCACAGAGTGCCCCAGAGGTATTTCCGAAGGACAAACCGACCGAAGAGCCTAAACCTAATCAGGTGGAAGCTAGAAAATTTTTGTCGTCATTAGGAGACAGTTCGCCCCCAGCAACTATCCCAACGACGACAAAAGATGCTGTCCCATCAGAAGCGTTCATTCACATTGAACAGGTCGATGGATCAAAGGATGAGACAGACAACTGACTGCATGGTCAGATGCAGTTAGAAAAGAAGCAATCAGATCACTCTAGTAGTGATCTGAAAATTGCTGAATTCACTGTTCAAATGAACAAGGCTGAGGCAGCTTCACTCGAGGCGATGGATCTTACGCACCTCCAGACTAAGATTGATTCAGAACTAAAAGTGATTCAGACCGAGAACGCTGTGGAAGGCAAGAAGTTTGCAAAGGACATAGGTAAACTACCAACGACATACAGATCTGATCGAAAGGACCGAAAGGATCCAATCCATACTAGCAGTCTGGCGTTGTTATCTAGGTCTTTGAGAGAGTTTGGACAGATTATGATTACAGCCAATCTACGGAAGAACCTATGGTTCGAACCAGTGCATCAGAGCTTTAAGCCGTCCTCTTACAAGTATAACAAGTTAGAGAAGGCGAAACAAGCGATCACTAAGCTGAAAACGTGGAAAGAGCAGAGTGAGATGATCGTCCACTTATTTTCGACGGACCTTCGACCGGAATTGCTTGTATCGATCATAATACCACCGGAAGAAGGAACGCCGGTGTCCCACTACTTATTGGAGTTGGACACACACATGTCATAGGCACAGACACAGGAGATGTCACCTGACAAATTATCCATGTGTGTACTATGGGTACAGACAATCTTTTGGTCAAACCTACATAGGAGAGATCAAGGGATCCTGTACGCTGATATGCATCAATCTTACCCGAACAAGGTACGAGAGATCTCCATTGAAGGACCTACCTACGGCATAATAAAGCTAGCGGACTTAACCTGGGCTAAAATTTACTTGTGAGCGGATCAGACGTTTACCAAACGCCCTAGTTCCGTGGTGAAAGTCACTAATGCTCAGAGGAAGGTCGGCGGCAATCTTACCGGGGGATCAGGCAATGTTCGAGACTCTTAGTCTACTAATGGAGGTCAGAAGGTAAACAAAGGGGGTGACAAGGGTGGCAATAAGAACAAAAATACAAATAGTTCTGAAAGCCACAAGAACAATGTCATCCTTAAGGGTAACCAGACCAACAGAAATGGACCGCCGGCAAACAGCCCTAAGCCCAGGTATAGGGAGGTCAAGAACTGTAG